CCAGACTCACGTAAACTGCGTCCACTTGAGTGAGTGCAGTTCTGACTGCTTCGCTAGGCTCTATTACATTTTTTGCTCATACTTGAACAACATAATGTCCAATTTTTTATAAGTATTATCTTTGTATGTGCCACCAGCCATCCTGATTATACTCTTTGCAACTCGCAGCCTAATGAGCTATACCAATCCATTTTAGCAATGTTAGACTTCTAAACTCATTTGGAGCTAGTTGGCCATGAGAGGCGAACTGGCACTCAACTTGCTACCTTTGGTTTTATTGTTACCGATGTCATATAGAACGATGGACTTGTTTCTTTCTGCCACTCGTTGTGTCTTGACTCCTGTTGTATCAAGAGGAACAACGTGACTTGTGATGCATGCTTGTCAACGCATTATTCATCAAAGAGTACAGCTAACCCGTGTCTAGTCATATTGCAGTATTTCTTTAAAACTGATGTTTTTTGTGTGGACACATCACCACATAGTCGTCAGCTGTCTGTACTTGACTTGACATGCATTTAGAAATGGAAACACCATCGGAGACTTTTTAGATTTTGGTTGGGCTCCCTTTGACGGCACTTTCTTGGTCATGATTGTTCGGGACTTTTTGACATTAAACATCCTGGGGTTTTGTTTAGAGCAGAAATCGGATTACTCAGCGACTAGGCACAGCGATGGCTGATGGATGATCATGCAGTCCTCACAGCCGATATCAGCGCATTGCCAAACCGGTAAGTTTGCCGGCATGTCGCACCGCTTCTTACTGAAGTGCGCTGAGCGTGCCAACGCCTATCAAATGCTCCAATAAGTTCAGCGTTTCACTTGACTTGTGTTGTTTTACCAATCGGCATTGTTGAACCCGATTCATTCGATCAGGTGGACACACCGAACACCGCCAACACAAGGAATTCTTTGACTTCTTGAAGTCGGTGCATGGACTGAGGTTGGAGCAGCTGAGGACGTTAATCGATGGTAGCTAAGGCGCTGCCTGCACAAAGACACCAGATATAATGCAGATCTGACGAAAATACTTTGAGAGCCTCTTAAACAATAGCTCAGAGATGGACCGGACTGCACTGCAAGCTCAGCAACGACAACAGATACAAGCATACCTTGCCGACACACCGACACTGGATGAGACACAGAGAGCACTTGTTCAGCTGCGAAACGGCAAGTGTCTCGGTGCAGGGTGACGGGATCCCGCCTGACACGCGTTGAAACACCGCGGACCCGCGTTGATGAATGCGTCTCTCCGGTTGGTGCAGCGCGAGTGGATTGAGGAGGAGGTGCCTCCTGAGCTGAAGGGGGCACTTGTGCTATCCCAGTACTAGGGCAAAGGAAGCAAGTAATGCGCCATAAATTATGGTTGAATTAACTTGTTGATTTGTGTGGGTAATATGATTGATCGAATCTTGCTCAACCGCCTCTTCAGTCAGATTGTGGAACCGAACGTGGCGGAAGAACAATGTGGATTCTGTTCGGGTAGCAGCAATATAGTCAGTTGCAGAAGTGCAGATAGCGATGCCAGCCATTGTACTCGCAGCTTGTTGATTTCACCAAATCCTTTAATACTGTGAACCGCAAGGCACCATGGCTGGTGTTGGATAAATTTGATTGACCGAATAAGTTCGTAAGTTTGATTGAATGTTTGCACAGTGTTAAGCGGGCGACGGTGCAGCTGAGTGGAGAGACCTCGGATGACTTTGCAATTGTCTCTGGTATGAAGCAAGGCTGTATCTTAGCCTCAGCCCTGTTTAATATTTATCTTCATGCTATGATGTTTTGTGCTTTTGATGCGGCTTGTGATTGCGGTGTTCGGGTGGAGCACCGTATTGACCGTTGGTTGTTGAACATATGTCGTTTCGGTGTGAGAACCCTAGTTTACAAGACAACTATTTGTATCTTGCTGTTTGCTGACGACTGTGCGTTGTTTGCGCGCAGCGCGGATAAGTCGCAGCACACGACATCACCTCTCGCATCGACGGCGGACAAATTCGGGCTTACCATCAACACAAGCAAGACTGTTTGCCCATTCTAGCCTTTACCTGTAATGGATTGAGTGGGCCTGCCCCAAATGCAGGTTGCGGACAAATTGTTGGAAACTACTCCGAGATTTTGCTACCTTGGGAGCGTAAGAACAAGCGACCTACAGGTGATGCGCGAACAGCGCAGCAGCGTATCAAAGGCGACTGACGCATTTGGCAATCTGGAATGCCTTGTGTGATACATCCAAGAGCTCATTGTCTGGACAAAGCTGCAGGTACACAAATCTATGGTGATGTCGATTCTGCTATAAGGCAGCCAAACGTGGACGCTTTATCGGAATGATGTCAGTTATCTGGAGCGCTTCCATCAACAGTGTCTGCATCGTATTACGTGGGTCAGCTACAGTGACCGAGATGTCGTCGCAGAGGTGCTCCGATGCAGTGGCATGCATGCAGCGGACTGCATAACTCAGCAGAGACACCTGAGGTGGATCGCACATATTAGCCGCATGGGTTTGACGCGGTTAAAGAAAACGTTGCATTATGGGCAATTGGGTGCAGGGAAGCGGCATGTAAGAAAACCGAAGATACGTTAGCAGGACATGATCAAAGTGAGTCAGTCTATCGCCATCTAATGTTGATTCCAGGTGTTCGGAATGGAACGCGATTGATCGGCGTGTATGGTGTATTCTGATGGTGAAGGGAGTTGCCCAGGTGCAGGAGGACGACATCGTGCATGCGGAGAAGAAGCGACAAGTGCGGAAGCGACAGGCACCGATGGGATATGCTAAATAGAGGTCAAGTGCATGGTGCTGTAGCATATGCGGTCTAGATTGCTTGAGTCAGACAGGTCTAGTGAGCCACCAGAGTGGACACTCGGGTCCAACACCGAAACGACGATGGGCTCTGCGGAGAACGTAAGCAGCAGAACAGGTGCCGTGTTGATAGGTACCCTGCATGCGCTTCCATTCGATTTACTAAAAGTGTGCTTGTTGTTGATTTGCGTGGTTGATTTGCCATATTTGGTGATACTTTGTTACATCATTTCAATGTAAACCCGAATAACTGAATAGTAAAACGCGCACGTCGCATAAGCATATGGAGGTTAACTTTGTGGAAATTTTCTTGTCTTTGGCAGTTTTGAAAATATCGTCATGATAGATTTAACTTGTCGCGGAGTACTTGAGAAACAATTTACTTCATACGCTCAGCAAGCGAAAGGTTATCCTGCGTATTCGTATGCTCCATTGCATAGATGTTATTTCATACTGTTATTTCAAGTGATTGGAAGTTGTTGATATCCCCAGTGTGGCTGCGCTTGATGTGCACGTTGACAAGATGCCTACCTGTCCAGTACGCACTACCTCGTTCATACTTGTTTCAGGATCATCATCATCATCAGCAAAAGCAGTACATCAGCCATTTGAACTGATGCTTCGCTGCCATACAACCATGAGGACCTATGAAATAAAGAATAAGAAGAGGGAGAGAAGGGGGAATTATCTGAAAACCTTAATGCCCTAAGAAAACATTCAGGGTCAAGGCGCCTACACCTTGTGTAGACAACATACCGTCACAAACAGCTGGCTATGGTGCAAAGATAAGGCGGCATCGGCGAGACAGCTTCCTTGCGGCTTTCACTGCCACGCGTCATAATCCGCCATTACCCCGCAGATAACTCAGCACCAAACACACTTTAAACAGACAATCCGATTAGGAGATGGCAGCAGACGCGCCACTGGTGTCTACTGCGAGCCATGTCCTGTAAAGTCTCAAGCCAAGCACAAGGTGAGTCACGTGGACTCCAACCCGGAAGGCGAAACGAACCAACGGCATCCAGTTTAGTTGTCAGTGACTTCATTTCCCGCTGCCAAGTCAACTTCTGTCCACCTCGAGCCCTGCGCCATCCTACACCTGGTAGACTGAACAAGGCCCTCCTAGGTGAGCGGTGACCAGGCAACGCAACTTATTCAGTGCTATCTGTTGTTCTAGGGAGCTAGCATGATCATCACCACCTAGTACTCGCCTACGCACATCATCGTTGCGGACACGCTGGTGCCATCCGACACCAGCAATGCTTCGCAAACAACGATGATCAAAGACTTGAAGGCGCCTCAGATCTTCAGACCGAAGGGGCCAAGTCTCACTACCATACAGCAGAACGGCCCTCCCTGTGGCCTTGTATACACGGCCTTTCAGACGGAGGGAAACTCCCTTCTGTCGCCAAAGATGACGCAGATTCAAGAAGGCAGCTCTGGCCTTTGCAATGCGTGAGCTCACGTCAGTTTCTATGCGCCCATCATTGCTGATGCAGCTACCAAGATAAGTGAATTGATCAACCACCTCGAGTTCCTCGTTAGCAAGCGTCAAGGGGTCAACGAGTGGCTGGTGGTCCTGCAGCAACACTTTGCACTTTGAAGGTGCGAAGTGCAACCATGACATTTGTTTCAGGAGACAGTTGGCCGTTGCTGGAACAAACGGGGTGCACGGTCATTGTTGCCGTGCTAGATTCCAAGACTGGTTCTATCTAGTGTGGATCGGACTACAGTCCAGTCTCCAACCTGTGTGCACTTGATTCCCCGAATACAGCGTGCTTGTGTTTGCCTGTGAAGGAGTGTGGGCTGGCTCCGTTGTTGAAACGTGGTTCCCATCCGCATGCCTCCCGGTCTTTTTCCTTCGGGTTTACACTGGATATGGGGTGTGTGGATGGAGCTGTGTGTGGTGCAGCGCAAGCCATCCATGGTCTCTCTGTAGGCGCAGGCATTCTGCGGCTGGCCACTATGACAGATAAATCCGAAACCAAATGCCGTTAACCATGACAGAATGTGTGGTTCTTTGTTATGATTGCATACGCATTGTTTTAGCAATGTTGGTTCGGATGAAATCAAATGAAAACATCGACGGTGGTACAACGCGTGTGACACCTATGGATACACGCTCACCCAAATGAACAGAACTGATATGACCTCGCAGATCCTCCTTCCTCGGAAACGATTTACTACAGTGACCACACACATGGGTGCACTGTCCTGAAATGGGAAACAAAAAGTGAATACTAAGAAATGAACCACACAGGGAAAAACGGTGCACAATCTGTTGGGGTAGGTTAACTGCATAGTGGTACACCAACGTGGTAATTATGATGAAGGAAACGAAATGTAGATCTGCAACTTCCCGGTACTCACACAACGATGTTAATTTGTGAAAGGTAAGGTGTATCCACTCTGCTGGCAACGACGAATTGACGCAGGATTGCGAACGAGGTGAAGCATCAAAATACTGCTTTGTCTCCATGCTTCAGAATGTATATGGAAGAAAGAGATCTCCATGGAACGCATACAGTATTCCACCTTAAGTGCAACTATTGCAGTCGCACAGACGGAACCCGCTGTTGATGTGAACAATAACACGGTCTATTCGAGTCGCGTTAACCCAGCTACTTGTTTCGTATCTAAAATCAATCCGGTGATCTAATCTGAGTACTGTTGGGGGGCCACCAGTGGTTACTGCTACCTACGGTCCGTTATACATGGTACGCAATCCAATGGTGAAAACAAAAGTCAGACTCGGGTAAACAAAGTGGATTCGATGGAACGGAATGCTTCTACTTAGAGGTCAACTAAACGTTTAACTGAGCGAGCCACGAACTCCCCGTCTTCGGCGTCCTGGCCTCAACCAATGTGAATGCATTTCGTTTTGCTTCGATTACCATAGTTGGCGAATAGTTCGTGCTGGAGTACGGCTCACGTACATTCGGTCCACGTCCACTTCGGATTCACCAGCCACCAGTCACATCGCACCTGTGTTCCATATCTGACACAACCACGTTCACACGGCGAGGCCCACACTCCAGCGACCATGTCACGCTTGTATTACGTTGTTGACAGCCAGATCACATGTTTGGCATCGCACCAGACCACAATGCCTGCCCGGCCTAGTGCAGTAACGCCGAGCATGGGTATTTGCTCCGCATGGCGGTCAAACAAACATATCACTAAATTATCCGACCCCCACAGCCCTGCAAATTAGACAGCGTGTATAACATTCACATAAGAGTATTACCGTCTTTTTTCGGACTATAAGGCGCAGTTAAAATCCTTATATTTGCTAAAAAAAATCGGCAGTGCGCCTTATGAATGAATAGTTTTGCTGAGGCCAAATGACCTCGAATCAGTTTCTAGTTTCACATTGCGCTGAGAATTCTGTGAAAATGTTTTATTACGATGTTGATTGTCGGATTATAATCACTGGTCAGGAACCTCGTGGAGTCAGCATTCTATGTTGTCTGAGACTTGTTTTTGGGAGTGGCGAACTCTGTGCAGGAGTCAACTGATTCGAGCTTTTCTGGCGACTATAAACCAAGCAACTATTCAATCATCCAAGCTGATATCCCATACTGTGATATACGTCAAGATTACCACACCCGGCAAACTCAATTGGTCCAACAATGCATCTTACAAACACTGTCCAAAACACGCGCCTGTATCTGCGCTCACACCAGTGTTGCAAAGACGTGCCGCCATCCAGACAGTTGGCAATGAATGTATTAGCTTAACTCACATCATCGTCCAAACCGTTTTCTGATAAACAACTGTAATATACCTCGTTGTGCGTGTACTACGGAGGGAGTAACAGTGCACTTACAGAGAAAAGCGTGATAACATCCCATCTGGCCAACATATGAGGTCAAGCACGATAACATCTTGGGCGCCAGTCGCATGCTGGCATTCAAGACGAAGCTTGTTACCTTATCCCTACTACTTTTTCTGATACATACTGTGCTTCAACATACCGGTAATTAAGGATCTCAAAATAACAGCTGTTAAGAGACATGCTTACGAAGCGGATTTCAAACTCAAGGTCATCAGCAACGCAGTACATACAACTAGGGAATGGAGCAGCTGCCAAAAAAAATCAACACTAATGAATCAATCGTATGGAAGTGGAAGCAAGAAGATGGCCTGCGCCAAGTAAAGAACAGTTTCCGAGGGATCAAAGCAAGATGGCCACAGTTAGAGGACAAAATTGAGCAGTGGATTAGTGAACATAGAACAGCAGGTAGAAGCATGTCTACAGTAAACATTCGATTCAAGGCAACAGCAATGGCAAGTGATATGAAGATGAACGAGTTTCAAAAAGGACCTTCTTGATGATTTCGTTTTAGGAAAACGCGTCACTGTTCCATCCGCAAAAGAACTACCACCTCGCAGCAACTGCTAAGGGATTACGACGAACGAATGGCCATCTTCCGCACTTATTGCGAGAACAAGATCACCGAAAAAAGATCCAGCCACACCGCATCACAAACATGTAGGAGGTTCCTCTCAGCTTTGACATCCCAGTGAACCGTACTTTTGAAAAACAGGGATGTCAACTGTAACTACACGCACCACAGGGAAGGAGAAATCATCCTTCACTGTAGTTCTCGGTTGCCAGGCTAATGGCCAGAAACTACCACCCCTGGTCATTTTTAGGAGGAAGACGCTGCCAAAAGAAAGATTTCCGGTTGGGGTTATCTTCAAGATCAAACCAAAAGGCTGGATGGATGACGAGAAAATGAACGAGTGGCTGAAAGAAGTTTACGTCAGGAGACCGGATGCCTCTTTTTACACATCTCCGTCTTTAATGATCTACAACTCCATGTGTGCCCATCTCACCGAAACTGTCAAACACCATGAAAAAAATTAATTCGAAGCTTGCCATTATCCCGGGAGGATTAGGCAAAGAACTCAAACCGCTAGCCATTGGTGTCAACAGGACGTTAAAAGTTAAACTGCGAGCCGCGTGGGAGCATTGGAAGACAGAAGGTGAGCACACATTTACCAAGACAGGGAGGCAACGCCAGGCTAGTTAGCCACTATCTGTCAAGGAATCGGTCTCAACTGTCGTCCGAGCCTTCACGAAGGCCATAATCACCAATGAACAGTCAGGCAACAGTAAGGAGACTGATCCAGATGATGAGGAGAGGGATTAGGGCTTGGTTGGTGCCGCCATCGCCTAAGTCCGACACAGAAGATGAAGAATTTGACGGATGGATGAAAAAGGGAGTGCATTTTTCTGAGCTTTATGTGTGTTACAAGCGAACAATATTGATAGCTAAAGTTAATGAGTTGAATCAAGTATGATCTATCCGGCATTTTGTTTAGCTTTATGCGCCAGATAATCGGCCGAGCACTGTATATGAAATTAGATCGTTACTTGATACTGCGCCTTTAGTCCGGCGCCCCTGTGATGAATAGTCGATCTACCAAATTTAGAACGACATGAATCACCAAAGCAGGTACACCTTTCGGTACTAGTCACAGTCTACCCTATACAGTGAAAATTTTCGCTTCAATAGATCTTATCAAGCCATGCACTGGTTGAAGCATTCCAATAGACTTACAAAGCTAAACCAGAGTTCGTTGATTCCAAACAACCGCCATTGTTCGTCAATCCAACTGCAAGCCATGATGACGGTCGCGCACATGCGCACACTTTGCACAACAGTTAATCCGGCCGATTTCGTGAAGGGGCAAACTGAGTCACTGCCTGGGATCGAGGAGCACAGCGTTCACGCCCAAGTTAGGAACATGGTAGGAGGATGGGCTGCATTAGCCCCAGACAGCCTGCACAGTTCGAGACGCACCAGGCTGATCGTAAAGGCTTCTTTTGACATTGGTAGGTGTTTCTAAGTTCTTTCGAGTCGGGTTTCGACACGACGTAGAAAACGTTGAAGGTGTTTGTAGTCACGAATTGAGAAAGATGTTCCAAAATAGAGCTGTTGACAGATCTTCGCACATCCAAAACACAATACCCTTCTATGCGTTTCTCCAATCGTCTAGTCGTGTGTCTGAAGTATCTTACAGCACCACAGTTAAAAGCGAATTGATACAAAATTCGAGATGGACCGAGGGTCAACTCTTGAAAGCTGGGTACTAAACGATGCAATTTATACAATAACATGCTAACAGGCAGATGCGAATGACTGAATAATTTAAAGAGGGCATCTCTCATAAAATGGACTGAAAAATGCATTCTCAGTACGAGCACGATAGATTATCGTCTGCCAAAATGACCTGAATGCCTTCGCAATTCATTAAAACCAGGCGGAACTAACAGGACGCAACTGCCGACCCAACCACATGTCTACTAATGTGTCAACAGTACGCCGTAACGGGGCTTTACTGTCGCGCGGCTACAACCAGTCACGCGTGGGCAGAGCATACCGCGAGGAGGCCAGCCATTACGCGCATTCGAACCGGTGACGTTATGGTTCCAGCCAGGTGTGTAGACCACTCGGCCACCGGCCAATCAATGTCTATATTCTCCAGTATAGGACAATAGCAGATGATGACTGTAACTTGACCACATGTTTCAAGATCGAGCATAGTGCACCAAATGGGACCGCTCGCATCTCAATGATCCCGCTCACAGTCGTGAATAATAGTTCTACATAGATCTGTCATCTGTCAAGGCTATACACAGTATCCAAGCTCAGTCGTCTGTGAGATTCAGCTTACACGTTCAGAAATGTGATGAGGATTGGTCACTTCTTGTTACTTCAAACTGATCAGCGCAAATAGGTGGACAAAAAAGCAACATCTCCGTTATAGTTTTGATTCTGGAGAATCACAAAGTGGTGAGTAACATCTACGTCAATGGCGATTAGACTATGTCGAATCGCATTAAGGCAGCTTGTGACGCGCATTGCTTGAAACAAAAGCAGCCTGATGGCACATACCGAATGCATATGGTAAGAATGGGACATTACAATAGTTACAAACATTTATCAATTTATCCAACTGGACATTCCGTCCCACCGTAAGACCAAGGGAAAAAGGTTGCAACCGAACAATGCATTCAACACTCTACTCACTCAGATGAACAGATTGTTCGTGGAACCGGAGATGACATTTAAAAGGAAACGCTTTCTCACAGTAATTGCATTGGTGAGGCCGCTTTTCTGGAACGAAAACCAAAAACCTGACAGTGGCACAAAGCACAAAAGAATAAACGTTCAAGGGTAAGGTAATGAGTTACGACGAATACAATCAAAATGACCTACTGCAATTGATCAAATGATGAAGATTAAGAAGAAAAGGATAGAACACAGTTTAACAAAGGTCCAGTTTGAAATATTCGATCAGATTGCACAACATATAACCCATGATTATGAATCTTGACGCATTGCGATACGTGAATTCGCTCATCCAACAGATTGCCCAATTAATATTCGACTTGCTCATTCACGTAGATGAGTCCAGCTCAGACCAACAGGGTCAATAATTTTCACACTGCGTAGGCTGAGCTACCTAATGACGGCAAAGTGCCGAGTGCGGATAGATTCCATTAAAGTCACGCTGAAATGCATCTAACATTTCTTTCGGTGTCCACCTGATCGAATGAATCGGGTTCAACAATGCCGATTGGTAAAACAACACAAGTCAAGTGAAACGCTGAACTTATTGGAGCATTTGATAGTCGTTGGCACGCTCAGCGCACTTCAGTAAGAAGCGGTGCGACACACTTGCCGGTTTGGCAATGCGCTGATATCGGCTGTGAGGACTGCATGATCATCCATCAGCCATCGCTGTGCCCAGTCGCAGAGTAATCGGCTTTCTGCTCTAAACAAAACCCCAGGATGTTTACTGTCGAAAAGTCCCGAACAATCATGACCAGGAAAGCGTCGTCAACGGGAGCCTAACCAAAATCTAAAAAGTCTTCGATGGTGTTTCCATTTCTAAATGCATGCCAAGTCAAGTACAGACAGCTGACGACTATGTGGTAATGCGTCCACACAATAAAGAAAAAACATCAGTTTTAAAGAAATACTGCAGTATGACTAGACACGGGTTCGCTGTACTCTTTGATGAATTATGCGCTGACCAGCATGCATCACAAGTCAGGTCGTTGCTCATGAAGAAGGGAGTCAAGACACAACGAGTGGCAGAAAGAAACAAGTCCATCGTTCTATATGACATCGGTAACAATAAAACCAAAGGTAGCAAGTTGAGTGCCAGTTCGCTTCTCATGGCCAACTAGCTCCAAATGAGTTTAGAAGTCTAACATTGCTAAAATGGATTGGTATCGCTTATAAGGTTGCGAGTTGCAAAGAGTACGATCAGGGAGCTGGTAGCATAAACAAAGGTAATAATACAAAAATGGGAGATTATGCTGCTTAAGTATGAGCAAAAAATGTAATAGAGCCTAACGAAGCAGTCAGAACTGCACTCACTCAAGTGGACGCAGTTTACGTGAGTCTGGAGTTGAGCCTTTCGAGAAAAACGTTTCATACATTGCTCACATGAGTGAGCACTTTGTTCTGGAACAGAAAATAGGACGACATCAGATGAGCAGAATATGAACAAAAAAGGTAAAATTTGAGGTGCGATTAGTAAGAAGCCAGCGAAAGAAATCTTGTTGGAGACATATCAAACAAAGCGCACAAGTAAGTAAGCTCAAGACTGACTGTGGGAGCGAATCGAAACGTCGGTCAAGAACATAAGAAATTGAGGAAGAAGGAGCCTGTAAGCTTGCAGATGCGTCACGTCGCCGACTGGCCACCTCATCGTTTCAACCAGCCGCAGTATGAAAGGCGCTCAAAGGGTACACGGCGGACACGTAACGGAACCCAAAGGGCTCTAGTTAAACAGAGACCCCACTGCGGTACAAGGCCATTCATACACAGACATCAACCGGTGGAATTCAGTATTGCGAACCCGGTGTTCCCGAATGACATCAGCTAAACTCCACAAGCACTGATTACCATTTCCTTAATGTTGGCAATGCGACGTGAACAACCTTCTGATCCATGCTTTGCAAACATTACCCATGACAACAAACAGCATGATATCCTAGTGCTCCTTCAGATGAGTATACTGCGGGAATCCACAACGCTATGGAATGACACGGGAAACAATTGCATAAAGGTGCCGTAGAAACCAAGGATGCCCGCTGTCACCTTTTCTCTTCAACTTCGCTGTTGACGAAGTCATGGAAATCGCGTTCACAGGACACGACTTAGAAGGTGTGGAGCTATTCCCAAGGGAACGACTTCTTGACTTAGAGTATGCTGATGATATTGCCCTAATCTGTGACAGATCCCAGACGTGCCAATCCGCACTGGACAGATTAGCACTGGCTGTCCGTCACTTCGGGCTTTGCTTCGCACCATCGAAGTGCAAAGCGTTCCTCCATGATTGGTCTAAACCGTCTACTTCGCTGACCGTTGGTGAGGATCAGCTAGAAGTCGTTCAGAAATTCAACTACCTGGGAAGTTGTATCAGCGCCCGTGGGATTGAGGATGAGATCACGAACTGTATAGCAAAAGCTCGGGGCGCTTTTGCTAACCTTCGCCACTTATGGCGCCGACACAATATCACTCTCGCCCTGAAGGGTAGCGTGTACAATGCAGTGGTACGTTTGACCCTAATGTACGGTTGTGAAACCTGGCCCCTAAGATCGGCGGACATAAAGAGGCTAGTTACGTTCGACCACCGGTGCCTTCGTAATTTAGCTCACATCTGGTGGGAACACCGCATGAGCAACGAGCGTGTTCGACGGCTTGTTTACGGCACAGGAAAAGGAAATGAACCGCTCAGCAGCGTTATTTCCCGCACCAGGCTCCGATGGCTCGGCCACGTGTTATGCATGCCAACCCAGCGACTCCCGCGACGTGCGTTGTTTGTGCGCCGGGGGTGTGAATGAAAGAAGAGGAGGGGTGGCCAAGCGATGACTTGGTCGAGAGGAATGAAGGCACTCACTTCGAAGCTGGCCTCAGTTGGAGCGTCTCGGCTCCCTGGTTGGGGTCCGAAAGACGATGAACACGTTTGGTTGGACACACTTGCTGACATGGCTTGGAGCCGACCTCAGTGGGGTTTGTGCTGTGAGTTTCTTTGTCCCACCCATCCCTCTTAGCCTCCCCCTCCAACCACGATCTCATTATTTAGCATTTTATAATTTTGCATAGTAATTTTTTTTGATGCACAGTAGCCGGCAGGTAGCTTACCGGAACGATGCCCATCCGTTACCAGTAGCTCAGCCGGCTTGCACCAGTTGCTATTTTTTCCTTTTTTTATGTATTGCGGCACAGTAGCTGAGGTGTTCCCCACCTCTGATGATGATGATGATGCCGTAGAAACATATTCTCACCTAAGATGAGAATGCTAAATGGAAAGCCACAATTCGCGTGGAAGTCTTGAGTTAACACGTTTACACCGGGATCAACAACAAAACACCGGAAATTGAATATGGTACCACTACAAACGATTAAAAACTAAAATGTACAATCTCACAACAACCTGGGTTTTTGCACAGGAATGAGGAAGGAAAAAGAAACACACAACAAGAACGCCACTATGGTCGGCTCCCAGCCATGTCAACAAGTGAATCCAACTAAAGGTGCTTTAGAGAGAGCAACACCTATGTCAAGGCAATGCAGCAGGCTGTGACGCGTCAACGAGGTCAGCTCATGTTACACGTAAAAGCATCGGACATTTCATTGGTTGCTAGCGGACAATAAAATTAAAAGGTTGTAAACGGAGGATGCAATCAGGATTCCACTCACTCGGGTGAACAGAGCGCTCGTGGAACCGGAGACTGTTCGAGTGAGAAAAGGTTTTCTCACAGTATTTACATTTGTGAGGTCGCTCTCCTGGAACATGAAACCAAAACTTGATGGTTACACACAGTATCACAAAAGACAGTGTAATAGAGGGAACGTGATGTCAGGTCGCAAATGTAATCAAAACGAATTACTGGAATTGGCCAAATAATGATGGGTGGGAAAAAGAATTGCGCACCGTACTCTAAAAACAAATGTCCTGTTTGAAAAAATCTACAAGATGGCTAACATAGAATTCGGGAATGAAAATCAGTTAGACTTAACAGTTCGCGTTATCTGATCACTTGTGAACTAACCACCTATACAGATCACGCGAGAAGAGTAAACCGTCGTTCTGAAGTGGGTCAGATAAGGAAGTGCATCGGCGCAACAGAAGCGATCTTTGGGCTGTGGTAAAGGACATGAACCCCAAGGAAGCTTAGGGTTACTGTCAGTTGCTAGCAAAGTTAACGCACGTTATTAAAAGATGGTGCAGTATACAATGTGTCGCGTAAGCCACATTTGAGAGTTTGGAACTTGCCGAAATCGCCTGCGATGACCGGATGATCATCCATCGACTATCGCTGTGCACAGTGGTTGATGATCCGGCTTGCTGCGCTGACCATAAGCCATGGTTATTGAGGTGTATGGATATGCCGGTTTGTATCAGGTTTAGCGAATGACCGGAACACAAGCCGGCAATTTAGGTAACCCGCAATCATCTGCTTGTTAGTGATTGGTGTAATAGTCCCCTGCAACCACTTAGAACAGGACAGGCGAAGGGGAAATAACGCAAAATCCTCTTGCAATAGGTCGTTCAACAAAAAACCGCAAACAAAACCGAGGGATGCGCGCCGACACAAAGAAATGACACAAATCTAAAGAAAAAAAAGCTATACAGGATAATAGCAATGAGTTCCCTAGATGAGTTTGAGCAAGGCAATAAGTCCATGATCATCATCATCATCATCAATATACACGTTAGCCGAAGATGGGAAACGCCTCAGCAATTGTGCTGCAAAACAAGTGAAGGGGAAAATATGCAACAGGCAGTTGCTTTAGCTGAGCCAACAGTAGAGGATGGACATCGTTCCAGAGTGCTAGTAGTCGGGTGTTGTGTGTAAAACGTTATAATATGCGGCAGAAATAAGACAGGTAGGAGGAGCAGGCCAAGCACGAGGGGTGAGGGATAAAGAAACTCATAACACAAACGGTAGAGGTTCGCAACAATTATGTCAATAAGCATATCTAGCCAAACGGGTTTATCGTCATGCAAGCACACACCAAGGAGACGAGAGGTACCAACCGACGCCAAAATAAAATTGTAAGCGACAATTATATTGGAAATTGAGTTAACGCGTTTACACCGGGATCAACAACACAACACCGGAAATTGAATACGGTACCACTACAAATAATTGAAAACAACGATGTACAATACCAGAACAACCTGTGCTTCTGGCACTGGCGTATCAAACAACGACAACAACCAAAGGTAGCCAAAAAGCTGAGCTTCAAGATCACGTTGAATAATCTCGTCTCAATTTACTGGGCTTACACATGACCAATCGGAAACGGAGGTTGTCGTGAAACGTGGACGTTCGGTCAATGCCTTACACACACACACGCACGCACACCGTGATGGTATTGCAAGTGTTTCAATTGCCCATGGATTAACGTGTACAATTGTCCTCACGGACGTGGTGGTTTCATGTATGTGAACTCTACTCACATGATCTCGCAACATCGTCAGGTCACATCCGATGCGAGGAATGTCTTGCTCGCCAGTATTCGAATGCCACAGCGAGGGAGTTAAGACGGAACATCACAAACTGATAACATGAGGCGAAAGCCACAGAAAGCGACAATTAGGTCTGTTCAGAAGTTGGAAATGTAGGTCAATGCATGCACGGTGGAATGCAGGTCACCTACGTGTTTAAGGTGCAAATAAAACTAATTCACCTGGAACGGAACACAATCTCCATTAAGAGCCAGAGAATAAAGATCGGTTGGGACAGAAAGGAGCTGAGTAAAGGGAATAACAAGCATGAGGGAGGGAGCGGTAGGAAGGCAGCAGAGGATAGGAAAATTGGGAATCTACAAAAACGAAGAACCATTGTCTTGGCAAGAAGCAAGCTGACCGCTGAAAGTCTTTCCTGTAAACGTTGCTTGCCAAGATAAAGGGAACTGCGGCAGTATCCTTAAACGCATCTCACGTACGAAAAGGGAATCACTTAGTATTCTGAGATATCTCACCAGATGAGGAATTACGGGCCAGCCAGGCAGATGGTGAAAGAAATGATCACAACATGGATTCTCGAGTAGTTCAAAACATTATGATGACTGGATTTTTGTCAATCTTTGTCCTACCAGTGCGTCTCGAGTCAGCAGTAGATTGAGAATAGTAGCTGCTGGCATGCATGGTTTGAGAAACCAGCTTTCTAAGGTTCGCAAGCTGAGCTGATGGCTTTCCGAAGACTAGATTGTCCTCGGAAACTTCAGATCCGGAGGAACAAATTCCAGGATAGTAACTTTACCGATCCGATCATTTCGGATGGTGGTCTGGGAGTGGTGTGCTTCTTTACTGGAAGATTCACACAGCCGAAATTATAAACGATGCCGACGGACTCGGAAATTCTTTCGCAGTGTTCACGATGGATACAAGTCGCTCATGGTCGACGTTAGCTACAGATCACTTATGTGAGCAAGATCCCATCTGCTGGACTCCATCAAAATACATGGTGAATGCCGACGCTGTCTGTTGATGAGTGATTTCAATATCACTGGGACGTACTTCGTTGTGATTTTCTCCAGTCCTCTGATGCAATTCTATTAGAGGCTATCCTCGAATCTAACCCAGCTCAGCATGTCTCTTCCCCTAGCCGGATTTGCCCAAAGCACTTGCCGCATATCCTTGACTTTGTGCTCACACCAGCACTATCAGACGTCTTAGGTTCAGCTGCTCTTTATTCTCTCGGCAAAAGTGACCAGGTTGTAGCCTCCCTTTGTGGACGCAGCGGTTAGCCAAAGTTTCAGGTTTACGGATCCAGTCCATTTAAAATGACTGCACGTTACATGGGCTAGAACATCATTCAGCCTTTGGAACCCAATTGTGCTGCAAAGTTTTCCATAGAAACCCTCGGAGACAGTCCTTCAGCCACTAGCCCAGAGAAGAATGGCTAGACGCAGTCTGAAGCCGAATAATGTAACTTGAATTGCACCAGTGAGCGCACTACTTAGGCAATTAAAAGGCGAACGCTTACGCATCTCTTAGTTGATACAATGTAGGTAATTTAAGCAAGGCTATCCTTTCATGAAATAGTTATTTCGACTCTATCACTTGGCTATACATACTTTTTGCGCGACGTTGAAAAATGGTTTCATCAGAGGTCCTTGTCTTTTGCTTTGGGAAGTGCCTAGACCTGACCCCAATGGCCAAATCGGGTATTCGCACTATCAGTGGAAACATAACAAAATCTGGTGACGAAAGAAGCTTAATCAAGATGTCAATCATAAGGTGGGGCCTGAACGTTATTTTGCGTCTACAGCATAAATTCGAAGCTGCACAGCCGCAAATGATCGGGGCTCTTACTCGAACACTAATGCTCTAGTCTAAAGCCGTCCAAGATACTGAGAATCCCTCAGTTGATGTAATAATCGACAGTGTCAATTCGTTGTTGACTTCGGTTCAGGATTGATTTTCGATGCGTGGTTCAGACGTTATAAACATATTTTCATGACGCAGCAGACAAACCTTGATGATGCAACAGAGGGGACAAGTGTTGCGTAAACTCGGGGCTGTGGAGACCATAACATACACCGGTTTCAACATGGCTCACACGATTTCTTGACTCTCGGAGATGCTTGGCGATCAGGGAACGCTTTTCAGCAATCAAATACGTTTGCCTGAAGTTTTGCGAAAAGGGCTAAGATAGTCTCCTTGCCTAGGCAGCAACGATGAAGCGAGAGTGTCAGAAATTAAAGCCGACATCACTAATTGACACTTTGAGAATCTGACGATGGTGTAAAGCCTGCAGTCTCCCAAGAATGCCGAGATCAGAACCGGAATACTCGGGCTGTTGGAATGAGACCCGGACGTCACATCTCCAACTGTCACTGCAGAGGCCGTAACAAGCATAAATCTGAAACATGATACAGCTGTGGTGGAAGACACAAAGACATATTACAGTGACTTTGCAGTTCATCAGATTCCCGGGTGAAAGTTTCCAGTCACTGAACGCAAGGTAAGCCACCACCAGCAAGTTAGATAGCGTCAGTTCAACAACCGTATCTACCAGAAATGCCGCAGATGTGGACATAAAGAAAACTATTGCAGTCCCAAGTCCGTTATTAACGCTCAAAAGAAGGGCCGTAGTGTGCAACTGGCCGTCGTACTAGCACAAGAATTTCCACAAGCCATCGGGCGACGGCATCGTAGGGTGAGTCAGCCAATGATGAAATCGGGCGAAGTGGAACGTCAGTCATTTGAATTTCATGTAAAACCGTAAAGCCTCGAGACATTCGTGCCACTCGGCTAAAGGCTATGATAAAGAGTACTTGAGACAAGCCCACTATTCCGAAGGGAAAACCGGAGGTGCGCCGGCGCAGTCCTGAAACAACATTTTGCACTTTGTAGGTGCAAAGCACATGCCGAGACGTGTAGCGCTACGCGTCAGTCTATACAGAAGTATTTGCACAGACCCCAGGAGAAGTATGTAGTCCGCATACTCCAGTTTTGTCAGTCGATCACCTGGCAGAACTTCCATTCTGGTAGACTCTGAAAGAATCAAATCATTCATAATCATTTCGATCATAAAGTTGAAGAGAAAAGGAGATATAGAACAATTCTGGCGAATTCTACTTGTCGTGGGGAACGCAGGTGAGTTTCCCGTAGACCGTTACACGGCACAGGTAATCATAGTAGAGAGACTTCAGAATAGGAAGGAGTTTGCCTGGAAAGCTCTTCATGGATAGGCAACACCACAAGCTGTCACGATCAACCGAGTCGAAGGTGGCTTTCAAATCAAAGAAGACCACCATAGTCAGTCGTC